TATGTCTGTATGTATGTATGTTTGTATGTATGTACCTATGTATGTATGTATGTATGTTTGTATGTATGTACCTATGTATGTATGTATGTATGTATAATATATATATATGTGTGTGTGTGTGTGTGTGTTCATGTATATACATATATTTATCTATATCTATATTTGTATATATATATATATATATATATATGTATATATATATATATATATCATATATATGTATATATGTATATATGTATATATATGTGTGTATATATATATATATATATATATATATAATACACCTATGCAGACATACATATGTATCATTAAAACTGAGGAAGTCCATTCTGACCTCCACAGACGCAAATTTGAATCGTCATGAGCAGTTGAGGTTTAGTGGTATCGTTTATACTGTTGTGATGCCCATGATATGACTATACAGAGCCTCTTGCTTACTGAATATACAGCAGTATGCCGTGCGTCGTTTTCGTATCTAAGCCTGTCTGTCAATTGACCTCGACAACGGATCATAGCGTCCCTTTCTCGGCAATTCCCCCACGGCTGCTGATGTAATTAGCCCATCCAGCTCGAATACATACCTTTTAACTCGCAATTGGCACATTCCTTGCTATCTCGCTAACCAAAAAATACGCACGTGACACGGTAACTACCTTGAGTATCTACATACACCATCTGCCGCAGTGCACCCATGACAAAGTAGGCCATGCTATGCTAGCTGCTCTGATGCCGCAGATATTGACATACGATCGATCGATCTCCCCTCTGCGACAACATCGCTTCTAAATACTTCAGAAAAAGCCTCCCGCCATCCCCGCCTGCTACCTCAAGCATGCATGCAGTAAGCTGTATATGATACTTTATACTTCTCCTAGTGCATGACAGTGTGTCCACGATCACTCTGGCTTCTCCAGTAAGTTCGCCCGTACCTTAGCCAGCACTTCCGGGTCGACACCACACTCGTTCAGTACATACCCCTCAACTGACCCGTACTTGTCTTTCATATGCTGCAGCAGATTACGCATCCACTGTGGTTCAGCAACCATACTACCTTTCATCTGCGCGTCAGGAATGCCATAGCCCTTCAAGCTACTGCCCTTACAAAATCCTCGGAACGATCTATCGAAGTCCAGATTAGTTAGACTGTATTCGCTGATGATGACCTCTTCTTCTACATTGAGTAGGGTGAGTAGAAGTGCAACAAAGATACCGGTGCGATCTTTGCCTGCGGTGCAATGCACCACGCACGCCAGGTTGTCCTTATCCGATAACAATACCAAGAACTGTCCAAACAGCTCTACTACCATGTTGTCCACAATGTCAATGTAGTACTCCCCCAGCGATGGCTGTATCCTGTGTCTGTTGAACAGTAGCAGATTTACCACGTCCCTAAGCTGTATCATACTCGCCCAGAGCGTGAGCTTATCTTCCACCCCAGTTAGCGTTGAATCGCGTGCACTAATCTTTGTGAGATCGTCTGGCAACTTGGTTTTCTCTCGTTTTGATCTCAAATCTACTACCGTGCCTATATTAAGTGCAATAAGAGTGTCTATATCCTCCTCTTTAATGCGTGCCAGGTGTGCTGATCTGTACAGAACCTGCTTCTTTATTCTCAATCCATCGCGTGTGGGGATTCCAGCTAGACCTCGGAAGTTGATAACACCTTTTAGCTGTATTATGTTGTCTGTACTTACACTGGGAAGGTGTACAACCAGTGCTTTCGGATCGACATCCTTCACGAGCAGTCCGCCTTTGTGTATAAGAGAGTTGAGCAACTCTACAGCACATGCACAACCTGCTAAGACGATGCTTGCGGTGGTCGCATTGAAGTAGTACGCCACGAGTGAGAGCGACGATGCCCCCAGTGATGTGCGCACCATCTAATCAAACGTTTTTGTGAGAAAACGCACACACTCAATATCCTAATACGAGACAGCTATTGACATGGCAAGGACTATGCTTAAGTTATATATACTGCGTATCACTTATCGAGAGAGTGGGATTGGAAAGCTCTATATATTTAATTGATATTTTCACGGCCCTGTTTTATCAAATAACCAGAGCTTATACAATTCGGATCAGGCACATATTTTTTCAGAGGTATGTAAAATGTAGGGGCCGTCTCCACTACTACTCTCTAGTCTACTAGTAGTAGAGAGAGGGGGTCATGATATCTCAGCTCCAAATTTTATGAAACGAATTTCTATTATTAGAAATAGAGCGAAAAAAGGAAGCTTTCTGAAATCGGAGAATCGTAAAAATATGAAATGTAGCCCAAGTTGTTTGTCGTCAACAACACAGCTTGCGAGATAGTAGTAACTTAACATTTATACCTCACCACAATACAAACAAAACAAGTATATCACAGATTAAATAGTACAGCAACAATATGGGTATGTGTGATAACGAATGCATCGGGATATTTAGAAGTAGTCCGCGTAATACTATATA